GGTTCCTGACAGGCCATGGACCAGTGGCGACCGGGGACCCTGACCTAGGAAGCGTGCCTGTATGTTTCTTTTATTGCTGCCTGAGTCCTATCCCCATAGATCAACATGTAATACATCTAGATACAGTGTGGGCACCTGGAGTTTTAAAAGCTCCCCAAGTGTTCTTGTGTGTAGTCAGTGAACCACTGCCCAAGGGTGCCTGATTAGGGCAAACCTGTTTTCAGCAGTCTGATGCCATAAATTTCTGCAACAAAGAGATAGGCAGTAAATGATTGCCCTAAGGCAGAGTTTTCATTCAGAGGATGAGTTGGGAAGTATTACATTCTCCTCTGTTCTTTGGAAGAGTTTTTGAAGGATTGGTGTCAATTTTTTTCTCGTTTGCTTTTTTTTTTTTTTGGTGTCAATTTTTTGAACGTTTGGTAGAATTTACCTGTGAAGCCATCTGGGGACAGCTTTTGTGGGACATTTTTTAAATTATTACTAATTCAGTCTCTACTTGTTATAGGTCTCTTTAGATTTTTTAATTTATTTTGAGTCTGTTTTGATAGTTTGTGTATTTCTAGGAATTTTTCCATTTCATCTAGGTGATCTGATTACCTAGTGTGTGTGAGTGTGTGTGTGTGTGTGTGTGTGTGTGTGACTCAATCATGTTTCTGTCAGTGGGGTTTCCCAGGCAAGAATACTGGAGTGGGTAGCCATTCCCTTCTCCTGGGGTTCTTCCCCACCCAGAGATCACACTTGGGTCTCCTGCATTGCAGGTGGATTCTTGACCTTCTGAGCCACGAGGGAAGCCCCTAGCTAGCATACACTTGTTCACAGTATTACCTGTGCTTCTTTTTACTTTCATAAGCTGGGAATAATGTCCCTTCTTTCATTCCTAATTTTAGTAATTTGAATTTTCTATTTTTTTGTTTTTCTTGGTCAGTCTTGCTAAAAGTTGATCAATTATTATGTTTTTGGTTAATGAGTCAACTTTGTTGATTTTTTGCTCTTGTTTTTTCTATTTATTTCATTAATTGCTGCTCTTTTATTATTTATTTCCTTGTACTTGTTTTGGTTTAGTTTGCTCTTCTTTTTCTAGATCCTTAAGATAGAAGACTAGGCCTCTGATTAGAGATCTAATTTATTAGTAAATTTTTTCAGAGCACTTTAGGTTCACAACAGAATTGAGCAGGGAGTATGCACAGTCCCCGGATACGCGCTGTCCCCCCCACTGCAGACACCCTGTAGCAGAGTGGCACGTTCGTTACCGCCCAGGAGCCCACACTGACCCCTCGTCACCCTCAGTCCATGGTTCACATTAGAGTTTACTTTTGGTGTCCTACCCTCCATTGGTTTTGACAGTGTATCCACTATTACAGTGTCATGCAGAATTATTTCTCTTCCCTCCACATTCTCTGTGCTCTGTCTCTTCATCCTTTCCTGCCCTCTAATCCATGGAAACCACTGCTTTTTTTTTCCCCCACTGTCTCCATAGTTTTGCCTTTTCCAGAATGTCATATATAATAGTGGAAAACATACAGTATGTGCTTTTTCACATTGCCTTCTTTCACTTATTATTTGCATTTAAGTTTCCTCTATGTGTTTTTCATGGCATGATTGCTCATTTCTATTTAGTGCGGAATAATTTCCCATTGTTTGGATTTCTTTTTTAATGTATTTATAGCTATAAATTTCCTTCTGAGTACTGCTTCCGTTGCTTGTCATAACTTTGTACGTTGTGTGAAGCACTGTCTTTATAGGAAAGGCAAGATAAATACTCGCTTACTTCCATTTGTTTACGAGTTTGGGGAATAATGAGTGGGTTCTCTAGTATGCCAGCTATGAATTATTGACCTTCAGTTCCAAATTTATCCTTTTTGCCTGCTCTGTGAAATGGATTTGGGCACTTTAAATATTTATCCTTTACCAGCTGGCAGGTATTAAGCTTTGTCAGCAGAGGGCAACAGAGCGATATGGCAGGAGGAAGGACGCTCCCTTCCTGTTCTGGCGTTTGGGTCGGACAGGCTAGAGTGCTGCGGGCAGCCTCCCAGCGTCCGGTTCCTGTGCTTCTGTACTGGGCTCCTCACTGTATAGTGGCCAAAAGCCAGCAGCTTCTCCTGGCACCCTCCTCAAGGGGTTTCTAGGAGAGTGCCTCTTGTGAGACACCTCCCCATGAATGGCTTTCCCCAGCACCATATAAGGTAGATTTCCAACCACTTCCATGTAGCACCACAGCAGCTTCCCTATCTAGGCATCACAGGCACATCCCTTCCAACAGTCTGAACCTCATCTCTGGGATGATCTTCACTGGACAAAGTCTTCAAAAAAAAAAATAAAGAAAACCTTCCCTGTTCAACTTACTGCATGACTCCTCCCTTCTACTTGACTCAGACTAATACAGCTGGTAACTTCTGTAGGGGACAGTAAGGTTTTTTGTTTGATGAACTGTCAAAATTAAGGATTTATGTTCAATAAAGGAATAAATTAATGGATGTAAGAGAAGACAATCGAAATGTCTAAAACTGACAAGATATGTATATCTACAAAGTACAGAAAACCATCGACAAGACAAATCGAGCAACCCCAACAGAGAAATGGCAAAGGATGTGACTAAGCAATCTAAAAAGAGAAACTCAAAAAGTCACTAAGAACTGTTCGGACTCAGGAATCAGATAAACTCAGATTAACAAAACAATGAGATAGCACATCATGCCTTTTGGTTTAGAAAACATTTGGAAGCTGGATAAAGGTTGTCTCAAACATATCTTAGATTTGCTCTCTCAATCACATTTGCTGTCACTAGTTCAAAGCCACCATCATCTTCCATATTAGCATAATAGAAAAATGTAAATTTTCTCCCCTTCTATTTTTGCTCCCCTACAATTCACTTTTCCCCTGGGAGCATGAGAAATCTTTAAGGGTAATTCAGATACTGAAACTGAGTGCCCCTAAAACCAAGTTCCCTTACCCAGTTTATGATTAATCTATCTAAAACTTTATTCAGTTCCTTGTGTCCTCTCTGACCTCAATCCTGTGCTAACTGAACACTAATCAACCACAATCAGAGGACTAAAATTGCTGTTGTCAATAACATTATTAATGTACTAAAATTGCTATTATATATTATTTACATACAAACTCAGGACAAGCTGAGCTCCCCAAGCCATGGACCACCAGGCCAGACACTTGTAAACCAGAATGTCTTGCCTCTGGAAACTATGATTAAGAAATGTCACAAGATGATAATTCCAGCCTCTTTTATCTTTCCCTTTAAAAAACAAAAACTAACTCAAAGACCAAGTTGGAGTGGATCTAAGGCTTGTCTCTCACACTCTTGCTTGGCGCTCTGCAGTAAGCACTGTACTTCACCAAAGCCTGGTGTCAGTGAACCGACTTTGCTTTGCATTGCATGAGCATACCTGTGTTCAGTTTGTTAATAGTACCACTTCTTTGCTTAGAACCTTTTAACTTCCTGTTGCTCTTGGAATAAAATCCATTGTCACGTGATCTAATTACCTACCTCCAGTTCCATATTGTGTCACTCTCCTTGCTCATTGTTCTCCAGCGAATATTTCAATAACTTTAACACTTCAAGCCCTTTCCTTCCTCCATAACTTTTGCACCTGCTTCCTTCTGCTATTCCCTATGAATCTTCACATAGTTGGTCATTCTCATGATATCCTTCTACTCAAAGGCTGGCCACCTTTTCTGGAGCGGATCCTAGTAAGTCACTGTTACCCTGCTTATTTCTTTGACAACCCAAATCACTAGTTTGTAAATAAACTTAAGTCTTAAAATAATTTTTATGATTATTTTTGGCCACAGGGGCGTCCTCCTTTCTGCACTCTCCATTGCCACACCTGGGCTTTCCGTTTGGGGGAGGGCAGGGCTGCTCCCCGACTTCATTTGCTTGGGCCTCTCATTGCAGTGGCTTCTCTAGCCGCGGAGCACAGGGGACTACGGCCCACCAGTTCCCGTGGTCGCAGCACTCTGGGTCAGTAGTTGTGGTGCACCAGCTTAGGAGCCCAGAAGCATGTGGGATCTTCCTAGACCAGGGGTCAAACCCACGTCCCCTGTGTTGGCAGGTGGATACTTAACCACTGAACCACCAGGGAAGTCCCAAATTACTTAGTTTTAACCTTCCCTACTAGTCAATGCACTTCATTGAGGGTAGGGACCTTATTTGTCTTTTTCACATTAACCTCCAGCAGTTAAAGCAATGCCTAAAAGTATGCACTAGACTGTGAATGAATGACTCTCATTTTGTGTTCTTGGGGAAGTCTGGAGCAGTGAATTACTTTACAAATGCAGATGCTTCACACTTAAATACTGTGTTCTTGTTAGTAGAGCAACAGCAAAACACACAAATGAAAAAATGCCACACACTCAAAAAAAAAAAAAACATTTTGTACTTTAAAAATGATCAGTGCGCCCAAACTTGCCCCCCTCTCACATTGAGTCCCTCTGTATCTACTTTAGTATTGTCATCTGCCCTTTCAAGTGCTTTATCATTTCTAATCAATGGGTTTTTGTTTCTCAGCTGATTGTAAGAGCCTTTTATCGTTTGTTTTGCAGACATCTTATTCCCCTTTCTGCCTTTTGCCTACTTCGTTTTTGTTTTAATCCAAGTCTGATTCACTCTAGTAAGGAGGTGCGGTCTGACCTGACTCCAGAAAACCAGGCGAGGCTGGTTGGGTGGGCGGGTTAAAGGGCACGGTAGCAGGAGAGAACAGTGACTCTCAAAAGGAAAACAACTATTGATTGTGCAAGACCGGGCATGCCTATCGTCCCGGGATCTTGGCTACTACAGCTACCACTACCCTGCTTCAGCCCGGCGCCGGGCGCGCCTGTCTGACGTCACCGACGCTCCGCACAGTTGACTCAGGCCGCGCAAACTCCGTGGCCGTCTACCGGGCGCGCAGAAGCGAATATTCTCGCGGCGCCGGAAGTCCAGAGCACATGACCGGGTGACAGCGCTCGCTGGGCTGCTGGGCTCGCTTTAGGTGTTGCGGCACAGGATGGCGGAGGCGCCTCCTGTCTCAGGTACTGTACTACCTTGCAGGACTGGGCCCCTCTCTGGGAGCGGAAATTGAGTCAGTGACGAGTCCCAGGGCACCGGCCATTCGTATCGCGAGAGTGGCACGTACACGAGTTGAGGATAGTGGCTCGGAAGGGCCAAGCCACGCGCGTCGTGCGTACCGAGGTCTTAACCATCCTTGGCTGGTGGTGAAGCCCGGCGTCTGGGTTTCCAAGGAGAGTCGGTTTGTCCCGCTGAGTCGATGCGGGTGTCCCGCCCTCTCCAGGGGTCATCCCGGCCTTCCTGGGGCAGTGATATCCGACAGGCGGGCGTCGGCCCTTGACGGTGGCTGGCTTTCGACGCGCGGCGGGATCGCTCGCTGCTCTTGAGTTGTATTCGTGTGTCTTGGGGCAGTAGCGCGGGCGCGAGCCGAATACTAGTGGTTTCCACTCTCAGCTTTCCATGAGCTCGCAATGTGAAGTCTCGTTTTTTTCATCTGTGATTTGGGAGTAAATAAGTCAATTACTGTGAAGGTTCCCGCCGCTGCTGTACGTGTTACACAATTGTTAGCTTATTTTCCCTCCCAAGTTGTCTGTATGTGTAGAGACAACCTCATCTGGCTCTTAATGTAACACGATTTCCAGTTACTTCAGGGTACCTTGGATCTTTTGTTTTCCCAACTCTGGACAGTGACGGAAAAGGAGCACTTTACATAGTGATCTCAGCGCACACAAATATAAAAACGAACCAGAAATTTCAGGAAGCAGTGGTTTTCCTTATCTCTAGTACACTCTATACTACATATTTCGTTGGAAAAAATTCTTGTCATAACCCACTACATTATTTGATTTCATGATCCACTCCTGAAATACAGGGTAGCAATTTGCAGCATGAGGTTCGTGAAGAGTCATTAATTTGAGCCTTAGTTCTGCTACCTCCCAGCTCTTGGGGCTCCAAGAAGCCTATACATGTATTTGTGTACTTGGTGGCAGGTAAAATGTATTTATTACCATGGATCTTGGTCAAAAACGTTGGCTAACACACTGCATTGGTGTACCCTAGTCCATTTTTTGTTTGTTTACCCTAGTCCTGATATAGGTATTAGTTCTTCTTGGAGGATAGGGACCACATTTAGCCTGGTGTTTTGTTTTTCTCCCACTCACTCTTTTCCCAGATCCCCTAAATTGGATCCCTTGGTCTTCCTATCCTTAGGCTCACATCGGGCCCATTTCTGCACCATTCAGTGTTTGAAGCAGAAATGAGTGGGTCTAGTTGTGAATCTTATTTTTGGCCTCTGGTGTTGCTCTCTAGGTTACAACCTCTGTCCCATCTATTGAGGCAAAGTCCAGTAGTCCAAAGACCACCCCACTTTGTCTCCTGTACCTTAGTTTGCTTTTGCCTTAGTTCCTATTCCATGTTCTTATTTCAGCATTATCTCTAGCCCACATCTCCATCCTCACTCCAGTGTAATTCTCTTACCTGCTGTTTTCCTGAAACACCAAGGGGTATCTTTCTACCCATGGATAAACTCTCCAGTGCCAACTTTTTCTCTGGACTTTATAATCTGCAGTTGGATTTTCCCTTACTCTGCTCCACCCACCTGTAGGTCACCCACCATGGTGTTATCTTGGATCTTTAGTGCCACTTGCACTATAGCCAAGCCTTGGGGATGAGATATCCTATTTAGTAACTTCAGCTGCTCAAAATAGTGAAAAAATAAAGATGTCTCAGATATTTGTGTCCAGTTTCCTGTGCCCTTTTCCCCTTCCTCGATCTGAGGGCTTTCTCCACTACCTCACATTTGGTGAAACCATACTTTATATGAATAGATGCTGCTCTGTCTAGATTCTCAAGCTGAGTCAACTCTTTGCTGGTTAACATAAAAATACCCTCTTTGCATCCTTTAACCTGGCTATTCTGGACCACTTTACTGACCTTTTTTTCTGCCCCTCTTACAAACCTTGCTTCTTAGAGCAGGAGAAAACTACACAATACCTACTTGGTCTAATTTACCCATTTCCCACTAAGTTCTCTCTTATGTATCTGGAACACCTCTGCCACCTTCTGAATTTGTTTAATCCTCTTGCCATTTTGTAAGGCTCTCCAACCCCATCCTCAGAATCCTGCCTGTGTGAAAGTTTTCAGGACAAATCCTGGATTGATTGAGAGGTTACCTTTATGATCTCGCTGAGTTCTTAAGTATATGTTTCTATGGTACCTGCTACCCAACTTCTGTCAGTGGAGTGTAATTTAAGAGCATGGTCTCTAGGGTCACATGGCCTGAATCCTGAATCTGCTCTGGAATACCCCTGTGGCCTTGGGGAAGTTACTCTTTACGAGTCTCAGTTTTCTCATCAAGAATGTAAGGATTAAATGAATTAACACATGCAGAGTACTTAGAATAGTGCCTGGCACGTGTTAAGTACCTAATAAATGTTAGGCTTATTATTAAACCTGAAACTCACAGGCTGTGCACTGCAGCCTTTTGCGGTCAGGTCTGTTTCAGATAGTCTGTAATCTTAACGGCAATAATAAAGCACTATTTTAACCGCTTTATACTTGTTACCAACCTTGCTTTAATCTTTATAGCAACTCTTTGATGTAGGGATTCTTACTATTCCATTACTGGGATTAAATAACTTGCATAAAGACACAAGTGATGGACAGGGACTTAAATCCATCTCCCAGGCCCTGCTGATTCAGAGAATATTCTATATACTACGCATAGTCTGACTTTGCTACTAACTGGTTTTGTGTCCTTAGGCAAACTGTTTCATCTTTGGACTTCAGGGACAAAGTTGACTACAAAGAAGCATGTGGCCGGTGGAGGTGGGGGATGGATGAGTAGCTTAAAGGGGCATAGGCTTAATTTTTGAGACTCTCGGATTCTGACCATATTAACAGAGGTTATGTATGGAAAACCTAAAATACATTCTGGCGGGGATGAGGTGGGATGTATTCTTCCTATTAAGTATGTCTATGTGAAATCTTCACTTAAATTCCACAATGACCCTTTGAAATAGTATTATCAGCTTTTGTCACGTATGCGGAAACTCAGGCTAAAAGCAACCGAATGATTTTCCTGAGCGAATACTATAAACTGGAGGGTCAGGCTTTAAATTGATTTTGGCTGACTCCAAAGCCTGTTAACTTAATATTACACAGTGCTACCTTAGAGTTTTGAAAGACGACATGGAACCTGCTGATTGATGTCTCATCCCTGAACTGTTCACTGACCTTACATTGCTTGATAGAAATAAACACATTTATAACTAATGCCTGATGGCCCAGGTGAACAGTTTTACTTAGCATTTCAGCAGTGGCTGCTGGTAAGGCTGCCATTAAATCTTCACAAGCAACTTGAACCCATCAGCTTCACAGAAAACATAGGCCTTGTGCGGAAACTACTTTATACAGAGTCCTTAGGAAAATAACTCTTAGGTCTGGCTTACAGTCTTTGGGGCTTCATGAGTGACCAATTAATTTCTTTACTTACGTGTCTATTTCTTATGTCCTAGGTGTTTTTAAGTTCAATACGGATGCTGCTGAGTTCATTCCTCAGGAGAGAAAAAATTCTGGTCTGTTCTGTGGGAGTCAAAGGAGACTAGATTCTCATAGAATTGGTAGAAGAAATTACAGTTCACCGCCTCCCTGTCACCTTTCCAGGCAAATCTCTTATGATGACATCTCTGCTGTTCATCAGCACAGTTTTCATCCTTCAGGAAGCAAACCTAAGAGTCAGCAGACTTCTTTCCAGCCCTCTGTTTCTAACAAATCTCTCAAGAACCATGGCCTTCAGAATCAACCTTGGCAGAAACTGAGGAGTGAAAAGCAGCCTGTCAGAGTCAAGAGAGCACAGGGCCTCCCTGCCCAGACCTCAGATGCACCTGGCCTGGAAAGCGTGGCCAGGTCAGAGAGTGGGGCGAACCGCAGAGAGCATAGCCCTGCCGAGAGTGAGAAGGAAATCGTCGGTGCAGATCCAAGGGGAGCAAAACCCAAGAAAGCAGCCCAGTTTATATACAGCTATGGGAGAGGACCAAAAGTCAAGGGGAAACTCAAAAGTGAGTGGGGTCACAGAATGACTCCCAAACCTGAGGAGGCAGGACCTGAAACCAGCAAACCAGCAGGGGTTATCCACCCTGACTCTTCAGATACTTCCTCTAGAAAAGTAGTAGCGGATGGGGCCAGGCGCGGCGAGCAGAGAAGACACCCACAGAAAAGGTCTCCCTGGGAAGTGGAGGGAGCCAGGCCACGACCAGGCAGGAATCCACCAAAACAGGAGGGCCAACGACATACAAGCGCAGGGGCCAGAAGCAACATGGCCTCCATTCCAAAGGATGATCTTAATGAAAGGCCAGCAAAATCCGCCTGTGACAGTGGGAACGTGGCAGTCGTCAGCAGGTCTTCTAGAAGGGCTGACCCAGAGAAGTGTGCTGTAAGGAGGCAGGATCCTCAGGTAGCATCTTTCCCCCGAGGCAAACAGAACCACATGCTAAAGAATGTGGAAACACACACAGGTAAGCCTCCCTAAACGGTTGGAAATGTTTTCTTTCTTTCTTTTTTTTTTTTAATTTTAATTTCTGAATTGGTAATACACTCACACAATTTAGAAACCAGAGAATATAAAAAGGTACACAGTCGAAGGTCTGTCTGTTCTTGTCCATCATCTGCTTAGGTCTTGCCACCACCTGCCCCTCTTCCCAGGAGATAACCACTTAGTTTTTATATATCATGCAAGTGTTAGTCACTCAGTTGTGTCCGACTCTTTGTGACCCCATGGACTGTAGCCCCCAGGCTCCTCTGTCCATGGGATTTCCCAGGCAAGAATACTGGAGTGGATTACCATTTCTTTCTCCATTATATATCATAAGCAAATACAAATAAGGAATGGTTTTCTTAACAAATAGGAAATTAGTAAGAGTTTTAAAAAGCACAGATACGGGTGAGATAGATGTTTGGTTACCAGATTTTTTTTGAATTGTCAAAAAACACAAGTAGGGATGGTAACATCTCTACTACTACTCGTTCCAGCCTGTTCATCATCTCTTGTCTGCTCCGTCGCAACAGTTCCTGACTGATCTTGCCATCTCCAGTTTCTCTCTTTTAGTTCACTTCTTACATTAACATCAGAAAGTGGTATTTCTGGGACTTCCCTGTTGGTCCAGTGGTTAAGACTTTGAGTTTCCACTGCAGGGGGCATGGGTTTGCTTCCTGGTTGGGGGACTAAGATCCTGGATGCCATGCTACACAGTACCCCCCAAAAGTGATATTTCTAAAACACTTACGGATCTGTGTCACTCCCCTACTTGATTCTGTTCACTTTTTCTCATCACCTACAGATTCTGCCTTACACAACAGCCTCATCTGCTGCTGCCTCAGCCCCCACCACATTTTACTCCCTGGACTCTGGTACTGTCATCTTTCCACGCGGTTACATATGTGGTCCCTTCTGTCTACACTGGCTACTAACTACTCAACTCACTGGTGAATTCATACTCATTATCCCTTTATTTACTTATGGCTGTACTGGGTCTTCCTTGCTGCTCAGGCTTTTCTCTAGTTGTGGAGACCTGGGGCTACTCTCTGTTGCGGTGCTCGGGCTTCTCAATGCGCTGGCTTCTCTTGTTGCAGAGCACAGGCTCTGAGGTGTGCAGGCTTCAGTAATCGCAGCTCCCGAGCTCTGGAACACAGGCTCTGAGGTGTGCAGGCTTCAGTAATCGCAGCTCCCGAGCTCCGAAGCACAGGCTCTGAGGTGTGCAGGCTTCAGTAATCGCCGCTCCTGAGCTCTGGAGCACAGGCTCTGAGGTGTGCAGGCTTCAGTAATCGCAGCTCCCGAGCTCCGAAGCACAGGCTCTGAGGTGTGCAGGCTTCAGTAATCGCAGCTCCCGAGCTCCGAAGCACAGGCTCTGAGGTGTGCAGGCTTCAGTAATCGCAGCTCCCGAGCCCTGGATCACAGGCTCAACAGTTGTGGCACCTGGACTTAGTTGCCCCAAGGCATGTGCTATCTTCCCAGACCAGGGCTGAACCCACGTCTCTTGCACTGACAGGCGGATTCTTTACCACTGAGCCATCAGGGAAGCCCCATACTCATTTTTCAAAAGCTATAGTTTAGTCACATGTCCAGAAAACCTCTCCTCACTTCCACAGATAGCATCAATCTTTGCTTGCCCTGTGACATGTCTCCCCCACCCATAAACATGCTCCTGTTGAGCACCAAGCTTTACCGCTGGAAACCATCATTTGTTTATGTGTCAGTACCCTCCACTAGTTGACATGTTCCTTGAAGGCGAAGACTCTACCATTCCTTTCATTTTTATATCTCTGTTGCCTAACCCAGGTCTTAGAACACAGTAGTTACTCAGCTCTGACTGTTAGAGAGTTCTTTACATTAAACTGAAAACGTCTTTCTGGTAAACCCTTCCTACCCCCTCGTTCAGGGTCTGTCCTCTGGAGCTACGTAGCAGCTGGTCTGTCCTCTGAGCTTCCCTCCCACTGACGGCAAGTCAGCTCTCTGCAGTATTGAAGACACTTCTCATTTGCCCTGTGTATATGTTTTATCCAGGATAAGTAGGTTCATTCCTCCAGCTCTTTGCAGTATTGAAGACACTTCTCGTTTGCCCTGTGTATATGTTTTATCCAGGATAAGTAGGTTCATTCCTCCAGCTCTTTGCAGTATTGAAGACACTTCTCATTTGCCCTGTGTATATGTTTTATCCAGGATAAGTAGCTTCATTCCTCCAGCTCTTTGCAGTATTGAAGACACTTCTCATTTGCCCTGTGTGTATGTTTTATCCAGGATAAGTAGGTTCATTCCTCCAGCTCTTCCTCGTGGACCATCCTGGTCTCCCTCCAGTTTAATGTAACACACAGCCTAACACATGAATTTGCCACCTGCCCAGGCCTGTTTTTACACAAGCCTAGTGATCTGGTTCTTGTCTGCTTACCAGGCACTCCTTCTTGAGACTTTGATTTGAATGTGAACCAAGGCAGTATTGTACCAGATTTGTTTTTGAATTCTCAAGGCTGGTTAATAGTTTCCTATTGCTTCATAATGAATTGCCACAAATGTAATGGTCTAAGGTAACACAACTTTACTGTGTCACAGTTTCCATGGGTCAGAAGTCTGAATACAGGTTAGCTTGAGTTTCTACTCAGGGTCAGAGGACTGCAGTTTGGCTAGGGATGCAGTGTTATCTGAGGAATGGGGTCTTCTTTGGTGCTCACTGGTTGTTGATAGGATTTAGTTCTTTTTTTAAATATATTTTTATTTATTTATTTGACTGCACCATGTCTGAGTTGCAGCACATGGGATCTAGTTCCCTGACCAGGGATCAAACCCTAGACCCCTGCGTTGGGAGTGTGGTATCTTAGTCACTGGACCATGAGGGAAGTCCTGATAGGATTTAGTTCTTTATGGGTACAGGATTGAGGTCCCCATTTCTTTTCTTTTTTGGCAGCACCACACAGCATGCAGGATCTTAGTTCCCTGACCAGGGATCAAATCTGTGCCCCTTCAGTGGAAGTTCAGAGTCGTAACGCTGGACTGCCAGGGGAGTCCCAAGGTCCCCAGTTTCTTGCTGGCTGTTGGCTGGGGGTCACTCTCAGCTCTGAGGGCCAACCTGCATTTCCTTATCACATGGTTCTTTTCACAACATGGTAGTTTCTTTCTTCAAGGCCTGCAGGAAACCATCTGCTCCAAATTCTTTACATGATTTCTGTCTCTGATCAGTAGACTCTTTAAAAAGCACTCAGTTGATTAGATCAGTTCCTCCCATACTCAAGGGGAGATTATCCAGGGCATGCACACCGGGGCTGGGAGTCTCGGAGGCCTTCTCAGTTCGGCCTCACGAATCTCTCGTGGCGTCACATACCGGCATTTTCTTGAGACCTCTTTATTCATTTTTATTGAGTAAATACTTTGTGCCAAGCACTGTTCTAGGTACTAGGAATACAGCACTAATGGCATTTCCATTCCTGGCAGGGAAGACAGGCAGAAATCACTTAAATATTTAGTCAGTCAGGTGGTGATGAGAACTAAAATATAAGGCAGATTGAAAGGACAGAGTAACGGGCGCCAGTTTACATAGGTTGGTCTCTTTGATGAGGAGGCATTTGAACAGAGACCGGAAGGAAGTGCAGAAGTGTGCCACGTGGCTTTCTGGAGAACATTTCAAGCAGAGAGAGAAGCAAGTGTAGATTGGGGTGGGAGCGACAGCGTTGTGAGCAGTGAAGAGGTGGGTAGGAGAGGAGGTCAGAGAAACTGCAGAGGCAGGGTCGTGTGAGGCTTTTAGATTTGGTTCTGAGTCAGAAGATGAGAAGCAGCTAGGAGGCTGTGAGGCTTTGTGGGGAAGAGATGATCTCAAATGATCACCCAGCCTGCTGTGTAGGGAGTAGGCTCTAAGGATGCAAAGGGATGAGTTAGGAGGCTTTTGCGGCAATTCAGGTACTTGATGGAGACATGGATTAAGGTCGTAGTGGTAGCAGAGGTGAGAACTGGTTAGATCTGGGTGTGTTTGGAAGATGAAGTGGACGGGATTTACAGATAGATTGGATGTTGGATGGACAAAAACGAGAGGAGTCCAGGGTGTTGTGCCTGAGCAGCGTGGAATGTGAGATGCCACTCACTGCAGTGGTAACACTTGGGGAGAGAAAGCGGTGTTTGTTTTTTAAAGTTTTTACTTTGGAATAATTATAGACTTACAGGAATATCGCAAAGGTAGTTCAGAGAATTCCCATATATTCCTCACCTAGCTTCCTCTAATGTTAACATCTTTGTCAAAACTAAGAAATTAACACTAGTACCATAGTGTTAACTAAACTTCAGACTTTGTGGGTTGGTTTTTTTTTTTTATTTTTCGTTGCAAGGCTTACAGGAGTTTAGTTCCCCAACCAGGGATTGAACCCAGGCCTTGGGCAGGGAAGGCACACAGTCCTAACCACTGGACTGCCAGGGCATTCCCCCATACTTTATTTGGATTTCACCAGTTTTTCCTTTAATATCCTTTTTCTGCTCCAGGATCCAGTCCAGGGCACCACATGGCATTTAATCAGCATGTGTCTTTAGCCTCCTCCAATCTATGACAATTTCTTGTTGGAAAAGGTGTTTTTGCATATCTTTTGCTTTACCTCCTCCTCGTTCAGGAAAGATAAAGAATTTGGTTAAATTTGTTAGAATTAAATTGTCTACTGGACAATAGATCTGCTAAGTAGAGAGTCAGATATAAAATTCAGGGAAGAGATATGAGAGAACCGCATCGAAACATGTATATTATCAAGTGTGAAACAGATCACCAGCCCAGGTTGGATGCATGAGACAAGTGCTTGGGGCTGGTGCACTGGGAAGACCTAGAGGGATGGGATGGGGAGGGAGGTGGGAGGGGGGATCGGGATGGGGAACACATGTAAATCCATGGCTGATTCATGTCAATGTATGGCAAAAACCACTACAATACTGTAAAGTAATTAGCCTCCAACTAATAAAAATAAACGGAAAAAAAAAATAAAATTCAGGGAAGAG